TATGGGCCAATCGCGGTCATCCGTGCTTTTATAAGAACGACCGGGCGCTTTTAGTGACATTTTGCATACAAATCCCCATCTAGTAGGGCGCAGTCACCCAGTTTTGGTGGAAGTGCGCGAGTTCGATTGGGATTCAAGTAGGAAGGGAGCGTCGCAGCTTCCTCGGACAAGACCATTTGACTCAGCACCCAGAAGACTACAACTGGTGAAAATTTGATTTTAGGGTATACTTCCCCTTTAACAAGCACCCAAACGGATCCCCGAAGGCGAAGACCGTGAAGATGGTGAAGACCTGCCTGGCGTCTAAGTGGTCTTGGACTAGGAACACTAAGCGGAAAGATTTTTGCAGCCGTACTGTGACCAACAGTTAATCCGCGATATTCATGTTAAAACAAAATGGCGTCACGATTTATTGAAAGTGGTATAGTTGGTGGTACGAGTGTTCAAAACCATTTGAACTTCATACTGTTCGTCTTCTTTTGGACATGCTCTCTTTCCATCGTCCTTAGCTTTTGTTTGTTGAGAGCTGTTTTGGCTTTCTCCTATACCTCTGGGGGATGCCAAGTGATGGTTTTGAGAGGCTGGTGATGGCTGCGAGCGAGAGTTTGCCGATCGGCGTCGTCCTCGCTATAGCGATGAGAATACTAGTTACTGCGCACCTGGCAGACATCACAACACGTCGGAGCGTCCAGGAGCAAAGGAATCTTGGGTTTTCACTGGAATCTAGTTCCTCCAGCATCGTGTAGCCCACCGTCGGTGAATGGCCGTCCAGAAAGGTCGAACCTGGTCTTCTGCAGCATCTCGCAGTCCTGCGAGGCACACTGAATACGCCTGTCATGTATTCTACAAATAAAAATCACGAAGTAGTGGACTTTACAGTGATGAGTCTATCCTGTATGCTGCAAAAGACGCAGGAAATGTGACTGGTGTCTGTACACTCAGTGACTGGACGCCAACACCCCAGTCTTCTCCTGCAGGATCTGTTTGACATTGACATTACGCAGTAGGTCGGCATTGACCTGGTTTGGCAGCTATTGTAATAGTATCTGCCTGGTTGGATGTAGCAGGTTGGTGTTTGCTCGTCGTCCAGTCCGGAATTTTCTTGTAACTCACGGTGGAGTACGCGCAGGGTTTGTGATCATCCCTGTTCACTTTAATATTATCAAACACAACGTCCCCTTTGTCACTCTTCTTATCCTGAGTACTGAATTTGCTGACAATATTGCACCACACTTGTCACAACCTACCGCCACTGCTGGCGGTGGCGACTGGTTCGTCAATGGCGGTGACCAGGCTGACTGACTAGCTTCGAGACAGCGGCCTCGTTGTCAACCCCGCGGCAGCCTAAAGGTTGATTTTATCGATCCAGCCTCAGCGCCATGTTGACGATGCCTGACTGTGTGTCATGGATTGCCTTGCCATCAGCGGTCATTGCCGTCGACCTTGGTGCAGCCCTCAACAACTGGCTCAGCCCATGGGAGTCTCAAGTGGACAAAGTTGTTGCCAAAGTAGCTCAGAAGATTGTTGCATCGTGGTGTAGGTGAGCACATAACTAGGACTTCCCAGCGCCTATTTGTCCAGGCTGCGATACTATATGACATGCTGTACTGCACATTCTTTTCAGCACTGCAAGGCCGGCAGCTGGACCGACTGCAGGGGCCGCGCACATGCAGGCCGCCTGTTGCCAGTGCAGCATTCTGGAACGTTCCTTCCTTCTGAGATCAGTGGAATAATAACTTTCTTTGCTTCAAAGCAAGTTGCTTACCTTTCTGTTGTGCTCCCAGTGTCCTTACAACAATAACCTACAGCAATGTTTTATTTTCCTTTCCATTCCCCAACCAATGAATACTACGATGTCGATTCTATTTCTGAATACTTTAGTGTGTGCCCGCGCACGCACGTGTGTGTGTGTGTGTGTGTATACCTCACTCGCCACTCGAAGTTCTGTTCCCCATCACTGGAACACTGCCTGTTCTTTCAGGACCTGCCATCATCTGCAGATGGGCATTCAATGATTGTATTGTGTGTGTGTTTCCTTCAGAATCAGATCCGCTATCGTTGCTATAAGAGAAAATCTGTGGGTTCACATCCAGTGCATTTGTAGATTTGCGTGCTTTTCTCGCCACGGGCGCATACATGGGACATTGTGTGTGTGTGTGTGTGCGTCTGTGTTTATGGGGATATTGTCTGTATCGGCTTTTGGTACTAATGTTCAGGTCTGTGCTTGCATGTGTGAACATTAAATTGTTTGGTTCTGTGCATACTATTGCTATGTTGTACATTATTGTATGTATGTGTGCATTTCCACGAACAGTGTAGACGAGCGTGGAGAGTGCATTCATCCCTCATCAACCACTTCCCCTTGGGCTTACGAGAGTTTTTTCTGCGTACTTCTCATTTTTGTTTGTTTCTCTCTGATACTGTATTGATGCCGGTACCTGTACCTCGATGTGTTCCTCTATCTGCAGTCACCTTTAACCTTCGGTCAAGTTAACGTTTATTGTGCTCTATTTATCGTGCGAATCAAAATAAACAATAATAACACAAGTCGTGCTAGAGTGACGACATGTGCGTGTAGTAGGGTTGATGCGATGGGACGTTATAATTAGGTGGAACAGAACACACATTGGGCAGATTGATTGGGCATCATTGATTGTGCTCAGTCTAAACAGTGAACATAATAATTATCTCCAGTGACAGACTGTAGCGGCTAGCCTCCAATAGGTAGCTGGCACTAGTCGCTACTGCTTGTTTGACAGGTGCGGCCAGAACCCCTGTTGTGTCATGCTATAGATGCACATGCCCTATTCTGGGGCATACTGAGGTACTTTGATTTTGTTGACTGCATGTAGACAGCATCTAATAGTAGTACTCGTAGACCTTGGCTCTTTGTAGGTCAACCACCATCGCATGGATCGATCGGTGACTATGCACTTGGAGGTTGGAATAGCCCGCGCTGAACAGATCTTGCCATGGCCCAGGGAGTGAACTCGCTTACTCGACTATCCCGGTTTTAGTTAACCAGCATGAGTGGTGCAATTTGTCCATACCATGTTGCGAGCTCACAGTTGTTTGGGCAGGTTTTGAGCTGCACCACGAAACAAAGCGAAATAACGGGCGTGACTGTAGAGCAAGGAAGCGGCGAGACGGCACTTCCAGGACTAGACAGGCAGTAGAGATGTGTTCACAGCACGAGCAACCTCTCAAACCCTGCCGGTACTCCACAGTTACAAGAAAATGTCGGACTGGACGACGCGCCAATGCAAACCTGCTACATCCACCCAGGCAGATAGCTGCCAAACCAGGCCAATGTCGACCCACTGCATACCGGTATGTCAATGTCAAACAGATCCTGCAGGAGAAGACTGGGATGATATTGGCGTCCAGTGTACGGACACCAGTCACATGTCCTGCGTCTTTTGCAGCATACAGGATAGACTCATCACTGTAAAGTCCACTACTTCGTGATTTTTATTTGTAGAATACATGACAGGCGTATTCAGTGTGCCTCGCAGGACTGCGAGATGCTGCAGAAGACCAGTTTCGACCTTTCTGGACCGCCATTCACCGACGGTGGGCTACACGATGCTGGAGGAACTAGATTCCAGTGAAAACCCAAGATTCCTTTGCTCCTGGACGCTCCGACGTGTTGTGATATCTGCCAGGTGCGCAGTAACTAGTATTTTCATCGCTATAGCGAGGACGACGCCGATCGGCAAACTCTCGCTCACAGCCATCACCAGCCTCTCAAAACCATCACTTGGCATCCCCCAGAGGTATAGGAGAAAGCCAAAACAGCTCTCAACAAACAAAAGCTAAGGACGATGGAAAGAGAGCATGTCAAAAAGAAGACGAACAGTATGAAGTTCAAATGGTTTTGAACACTCGTACCACCAACTATACCACTTTCAATAAATCGTGACGCCATTTTGTTTTAACACGCATACGGTCCATTAGAAACTCGTGGCCTGGCACGAGGAAAATATGGATGCAGTGAATGGGATTTTCGGTCTTTGACCAATTTGTGGTGGGTCTGATCTACGCACCTACCACCGCTTAGGAGCTGCATCTGCGCCTTGATCCAAGAGGGTGGTGCGGATGCGGAAAACTCGGCTTTCAGGATGGGGGGAGGGGGAGGGGGAGGGGGAGGGGGAGGGGGAGGGAGAGGGAGAGGGGGGAGAGAGCGGAGAGAGAGAGAGAGAGAGAGAGAGAGAGAGAGAGAGAGAGAGAGAGAGAGAGAGAGAGAGAGAGAGAGAGAGAGAGAGAGAGAGAGAGAGAGAGAGAGAGAGAAAGAGAGAGAGAGAGAGAGAGAGAGAGAGAGAGAGAGAGAAAGCTGTGTTGCAACTGCAAGTTTCACCTAGTCACGATCATCAGGCAACATTGAAATAGTTTAAAAACACAATACCAGCGGGAGAGGTCTCAGAGGGGACAACCTATCTCTCAGAGGGGACAACCTATCTCTAAATAATACGGTGTAAAAAGCTCTGGCTTATGCGGCATTGAGCCAAATAGTATTGTCGTTACGGTTCAAGGGTTAGGCCAAAGAGCATCATAGGGATGAAAAAAGGAAAGGCGAGCTGCGAAGAAAGCTGGTATAAATTACCTCATTGCGATATCATTGTACAGTGCTTGCCAGCGACATGACACCACGTGAACCATGGAGTGAGGAAAATACAATAAAGAGAAAAAGACCTACATGTTCATGTATAAGTAAGTTAGGAGTTAGGGTTAACAGTCCACCAAGGTAACGAGATGATAATACAGTGAGATAGTGCAACAACGAGGCACAAAACTGATAGTGGCATTGAGACATTCGGCGATAACAGTCCACCAAGGTAACTAGATAATATTACAGTGAGGTAGTGCAGCTACAGCAAGGCACAAAACTGATAGTGACATTGAGACATTCGGTGACCGGACACCTTTTCTCCTTACTACTAGTATTTGCTCAACATCGGAGAATACAATAAAATAATACCATCATGACACAGTAAAGTCAACTATGGACTCAAAGAGTTATTGCGCATGCAAACCGGGTGCATGCTAGTTATTCTTCGCCTGACGTCAACCAGATGACCAGCCGGTAGAATGCACCGCTCATTCGAGAGCCCGTTGGGAAATAGCTTCTCCGTGATGACGCTCAAGGCACTTTGGTCAAAGCGATGACAGCCGATATAGCGACCCGACCACTTTTCAGTTATGTTGCAGTGAGCAAGCGTGGCTCCTTCTGGTGCTATGCACGCCGTCGTCATCGAACAGGCCAGCCAGTGTTTCAGCACTGTGGAAGCCACATCACCGCCCTGCTTAAACCAGATACTCGATCCCCCCATCGTCATGGGCGACATTGCTACCGACTTCCTGCTAACACCGAAAGCCTCCAGCATCCCGTCATGTGTAAATGCACCAGCTGGTGAATAGTGTTTCACCTCCATTGGAATGAATCCAACGCCGTCACGAACCAACTGAAGGTGATCTAGGGAGTCCTTAAATCGGATGGATGAGTCCGCCCAGATAGCGCCATCGAATTCCAGAAAGGTGGAGTATATCAAAAGGGCTTTCCACCGATAATCATGAAGGTTGGCAACCATATCAGCAAATATATCTCTTCGAATACTTCTTACTGTTACATTGCAATGTGATTGCAAGAAGAACTTGGATTTATTGCGGATTCCCATGTCGAAGAGGATGATTCCTCGTTGGGGCATTTTAGCAACAACTGAACTCAGCATGTCCACAATTTCTCGAGCATGGTTGTCGCTGAGTCCTGAAACGACCGGAAAGCTTTGGAATGTCACATCGTTGAGCGTTGTGTTTCGTGACTTTTTGTTGACCTTGATCGGTTGGTCGAGGCGTATCTTGGAGAGCTGTTTCCTCCACTCTTCCGGGATATATCCACGCACGGCCTTTTGCAAATCGATAGGCTTTCTGTTTATCCGAACTTCCTGGAGTAACACGCCTTCAAAGGGGCTGATCGTGACATTAGGTTCAAGACCAGGCATATTAGCCGTGTTCAATACGTTTCCAAAATACATACCGGAGTCTACCAATACACCAGGTGCTGCGGGGGTTGTCCCCAAAGATGCTTTCTGTAGCTTTGGGCAACGATCCAAAACCTGTGTTTCACCTTCTTGCAGTTTCAGAATGTTGAGAGTTGGACGTTCGGTAATACATAGGCATACAACATACCACAAACCGACTTTGATGATCATGTCAGAATCTACTGTATATTGAGTCTGATTCCTATCGTGTAACACACCAAGCTGTAGATGTAATGAAACTTGACTGCCATTCAGAAACACACTAACGTACTGCTCCTGGTCCGAATGAAAGATTCCACGCAGCAACTGAGCATGAAGAAGAGGTGCAGTTCCGGCAAGGCGAGCAGCTCTGAATGCAAACGTCACTTGTCTGATGAATAGCTGGTGGAAGGGCTTTCCATGTCGGTACCACTGTCCAGATGCTTGCACTGTTTGGCGTTCAACCAACGTAAGACGATGTAATCCTTTTCTAATCGTTTTACCTTCTTGCTCTGGCCCTGCATGCTCACGGCTCTGCTGCCCTGGGCTGGCGGCGTGCAGGAACCTCCTTCTGTGCCGGAGTTCCAAATCACGATGGCTTAGATCCCACGTAAAGTAGGCATACATGTAGATAACCAGAAGGATAGCCATCACTCCCACCAAACGTAGGTGCAAACCGCTACCGATGTACATGATAGCGTTGTCTATCTCGATGTAACAGTGGCTGCGCCTAAAAAGCCCTTGTAGTTCTACGCTAGGAGTAGGGCCGGCCGGGCAGCTGGTGGTAAAGCAGAACTAGCGATTAAGCAAGCACAAATCGGTACTCTTCCCCCGTTTTCAGCGCTATCTACCGGTGCTACGTTTAGTTCTGTAACATTTCCATCGCTAGCTACGTCTACCTGTGTGGCATTTTCATCGCTATCTACTATCTAGGCCTAGCTCTGTACTGTTTCCTTCGCTAGGTTTAGCTGTGTTCGGGCGCACAACCCGCATAGTACTCTCTCTCCCTCTGAAGTAGAGCCTCAGCCCTGCAATGGCAGGACCGCTTCCCGTGCATGTAGGTGGTGCGAGTCCTAAGCTAGAATGCCGCTACTGGTCCCACATATACATGTAGTGTCGCATAGCAAGGCTGTGTTTGCGCACACTGAGTCAAGCCAAACCGATATTTTGCTATCGTAACTGCTGCCCGGACGCAAAGGCCACGGCAATGCCAAACCTGAGATGCAGCGGGGGAAGCACACACTACGTGAATCGTGGCAGTGGATCCCATGGAGGTGAGGTGGAGGAGCTCCACCGACCTACGCCAATCATGGGCTCTTTGTCAGCGAAAGTGCATGCACTTCACATGAAGCCTCAACACTAGAGAATATGGACGAAAATTACAATAATTATTAAAAGTATAAAATTTGTCTCCGAATGATCGAACACCGTTTTGAAAGGGTACTGCAGCCTACGTACCTCGCGCATACATTGTAGATATGTCACTAGCAGTAGCACGCACTCTCCTTGACAAGAATTTAAAAACAATACATGTATTATTGAGAAAGGTTCGCGCATGTCCGCGTTACAACCGGCCATGCGATGCATTGAGAACCACAACCAGCTTTAAGGATGTTTCGCTCGTGCCAGGCTACCACCATGCATGTGACACCAGGACGAAGTAGTACTGGATGAATTGAAGATGCGAAAGATGAGATCTCCATCACCAAAAAAGACGAGATCTCCATCACCAAATCCCAGCAACAGCTAACAGGTACACTGTCACTGTACATGTAAAACCTGTCAAAGCGACCACTCGGATAAGGCGACCACTGCAGCCAGGACCAAGGGATGCTATTTCCAGTCAAATGACCATGGATAAAAAGACCACCTGGTATTACAGAGATCATGTTTTGAAGTGCCTTGAGCGGTCGTCTTAGACAGGTTTCACTGTAAATCAAGAACAGTATGAACCTAGGCTACTAGAAATGTGTATTGTCAAGGTAGGTTAAGTGACCTCTCTGCCCACAAAGTGCCCAAAAGAGAAGTGTGTTTTCACATGGAACTGTTGAGTTAGACAGCTGTCTGAAGTCCTCATGCTGCGTATAGTGCTCTACATGTACATGTGTTTCCAGTGGACAAAGCCAGTAATACAGTGATCACACAGCAATTGCGCAACCAAGTTCTTTTCCGCCGTTACTCGGAATTTCGTGTGAAACACTCATCACACAGCAGCTGGGTTATGTACAGTGCTGGCAACTGAAATCCGATCCCTGAGCGGTGCGCTCACATTCTATTTCTAGCGGTCTCTATTTCGTAGTGTTACAATCCTGTGTTGGGTCTTGGCGATGTGAGCGCACCGCTCAGGGCCGGGGTCGGATTTCAGTTGACAGCACTGTACATTTAATACTACCAGTCCTGTTGGATCAGTTGCCTGATGATCGTAGTAATACGTGAAACTCAGAGTTGTAACAAAGCTTCCAAACTCTTTCTTGTGTACCAGTCCAGTTATAGTTTGGAGAAGTATCGTTTTTTCCGCGCTCTCCTTTGCTGTTGCTCCCGCTGTTGCTGTTTGGAGAGGGCAAGGCTGCCATATTATTCGAGAACGGGTCGGATGTACATGTACATGTATGTCGTGTATATTGATAATGGGCTGGAAGCGTTCATTGTGCCTCGTGTCTTGTGGAGTTGGTGTACAGTACGACGCGACGGGGGACTCGTAGTAGTTTTGTTTTGCTTTGTTGGTAGTTTCTGCAGTATGATGTGTTGGGTCCATCGCATAATTATCGATTTGGAATGTAACGCCAAGGTGCCCATGTTGGTGGACCTGCTGTAGCAGAGTCGAGTACGTGGAGTGTGATGTGGATGATGTGTTAGGGTTGGAAGGAAAGGACACCGGTTCTTGTGGTGTTGACGACGAGGAGGTGTACAAGATTAGTAATTGACATTGGCTATGGACTACCATGGTGGGTGGGACTCGCGAATGACCGAAACGCTGTTTCCAAGATCGTGGATGCTCGTGTGACAACAGTCAACAGCTAAATGTCACTGTCCCATGATCGTCGTCTTGGAAACAACCATTCATAAAAATTAGCATTACGCTGGTAGAGGTCTGAATGGTGAATGGGATTTTCGGTCTTTGACCACTTGCTGGTGAGCTGATCTACTCACCTCCCACCGCTCACCGCTTATAGGAGCTGCATCTGCGCCTTGATCCTTGAAGGGTGGTGGCGTTCCTACGGATGCGGAAAGCCCGGCTTCCAGCCGAGTCTCACGCGAACCGTGACATTTTTTTTGGTAGAGGTCTACTATCCTTTCAGGTGATCGGGACAGATGGAGTCATACTATTACTACCGTACAGCAGTCTGTATACATGACAGAGATTCTTTATTGCTTTGCTTTCTTGTCATGCCAGTGCATTTCATACTGTCTTCACGAAACGTTTTGTCTCTCGGGCTAGGGATACCGGATCTCGATTGGCGATAACTCGACATAAGTGCACAGTAGACCATGGTACTTGGTAGACAGCCATGTACATGTACATGTATGAAACCTGAAAAAGCAGCGAATGGATCGCGTCCACGTTTGGGCCATTTCTTTGGGGCACAGTTCAGTGGGGTTTGGTCGCCCACGACTGGTGCAGCGAAGGATCGATCGCTTCACTGCAGCAGTGCATGATGCAACGCAAATATCCACATACTGTACAGTGATACAGTCATGATCTACAGCAATGCACTCTGTAGAGTGTAGTGTAGCCGGCATCGATCAAGGCGTGAACACAACAAACTACTAACTTACTTGAGAAGTAAGTAGTTGAGTCCGAGAGCCTAGCCGCAGTGTGAGCATAACCAATGTACAGGTCCGAGGTAGGGTCTAGTACGAGATCTACTACAATGTTCAATGTAGGTGAGATCAAGACTTACAAGAGCATCATCATGATCAGAAGACATACTGGTTTGCCTCTCAGGTTGTGACAGCGTATTCAGAATCATCAGGCGTCACATGAAAAAAGTGCCAACAGTGTAGCTAGTACAGGTACTTGTAATACGAGGAACGCTGAATGAGCACTAAAACGTTTCCGTCCCTATTATTATTATTATTTCGAGTCCAGCATGTCAGTTTGTCCCATCACGAGGGCACATTTACATGCATGTCCTGAGTACGGCTGAGCTAATCCTGTCATCACTCAATCAGAAAAGACCTCCCGGTGCAGAAGAGACAAGGAAAAATGAGTGTAACTTGAGAATACAATTCCATGTTTCCCAGCTTTCCGAGACAATGCGTTTCGCGAGCGGTGATGGCCGAAAAGTAGTCCTAGTCTTGGTTGGTGCTATTGCCATTTTTGTATGGTATCACTATGGCCACAGCGGCAGGAAGTGGCCAAAACAGCAGACAACTGGCAGCGTTCCGCAGCTTCGCACCGGAGTGCAGCCCTCAGCTGCAGCTGTCAGCGGGGCCGTGCTGGATCGATGTGCGCTGACTGCCGGAAGTCGATGGTACCGACACGGTCGACCGTTCCACGAGATAAACGTCAGAGACGTGACATTCGCCTTCAAGGCCGCTCGCTTGTCCGGAACCGTGCTGTTGCTCTACGCTCAACTGCTTGGTGGAATATTTCAGCCAAGAAAAGAGCAGTACGTCGCTGTACTCATGAACAGCAGAATGGTAGTGGCGAACGTCAGATATCACAAACCGGACGTAGAGTTTGGCGAGATGCAAACTGCTCACTCCGAACAACAGCTACAGCCTGGTGTGTGGTACGTGGTGTGTCTGTCAACGTACCCGAATCTACTGATATCTGTTGTACGATTTCACCGCCAGCGTACTGCTGCTGGTGAAGATCAGATCATGAGCCAGTGTTCCTCCCAGTTCACAGCGGCACCACATTACAAGTACAAATCTGAAGGTACACCCTTAAACTTGACACTCGATTCAGGTCTGTACTTCGGAGGCACCATAGACGTGAGCCACTCGACGGAACTCCGACGCATTAAGGACCTCACGATAATGCATGGGAAGATCTACTGCTGTGTGCGTGTGAACATGGCTAGGGTTGACTTGCGACGTTCGGTGCAGGGCAGTCCGGCCGAAGTGTGGAGGAGAGAGGTATCTCGGATTGACCTCCGCCTGCCCATCCAGGTAGAGCCGAGACGGCAGGAAGCAGCGTTGGACGACGTGACGTTCCGCCAGTTCCCAGTGGTGAGCGCGGCTAGTGAAGATCACGCCAGGGAAGTGCTCGACCTGGTCTCCTCGGTCAACACACGAATGCGCCACAGGGGCATAATCGTATACGACCTCGGTCTGCACACCACGTCCAGGGGCTACGTCGAAGCGATGTGCAACACAGCCATGCGCTCGATTCGCCGTGATTTCTTTGCCGACTTGCTCGACAACCTGCAGGAGTACCAATGGAAACCGCTTGTGATCTACGCGGCGTTTCTCGAGTTTGACGGCGTGATCTGGGCCGATGCCTCCATCCGCTTCCGCAAGCCGATACGGGAAGTGGCGCTGGTGAAGCACGGAGTGGGGTTCGTCGGCGTGGAAGAGCCACCCGCATCCCCGGTCGGTGCGTTCACGCACGACGCCACTCTGGCAGCACTCGGCGTGCAGCGCCAGTCCGTGGCCAAGGCGCGCATGGCCGTGAGCGGCGCGACCATCTGGATGCGACAGGGCAACGTACCCGTGCTGCTGCTACACCGCTGGATGGCGTGTGCGTTTCGCAAGGACTGCATCGCGCCGACGGGCGCAAAGCGAAACATTAAGTTCTGCCGCTTGCGCGAGCGAACATCCGGACACTACATCGGCTGTCACAGATACGACCAGAGTGTGCTGAGCATTTTGCTGTCAAAGGTATTTCCCGGGCGAAATGCAACACAGTGTCTTGTGATGGTGTACACTCTGCTGGAGATCAAAAGATATCCGACGGAGAAGTTCCAGCGCTGCTTCAGGCATCACTGATGTTATACGAAACTTGATGGACAAAGGTACTGTGTGTGCGTGTGTGTGTGTGTACGTGTGTGTATATATGTATGTACGCATGAGCCATGAGCCAGAGACAGGCTGACAGGCAGACGAACGCGCTTTCGCGCCTGCAAGCACACACACACACACACACACACACACACACACACACCTTGACATTCTGTACACACATTCTCGCCGTGCCTTCTGCGGAGCAGGCAGTCAGCATCTGGGAAATGATCAGTCCCACACAGATTCTACACTCTATGGAGCATACTAATCCTGATGCCTTGATGAGACCCAGTACGACAGTTCCCAGAATCATATTATTCTAACACCTGAAGTGCAGTATACGACAATAAACGCCACAAGATTCACCTTGCTACAGAAACTCGATAACTACATCACAACGTTATTAGAGAGGTTCCGCATAACGTAATTACGTTAGTAAAAAACGTAGTCGATCTACGGAAAGTCTTACGGAAACTGCATGCGCATCTGGGTTCCGCCATACGGAGTTTTCAAATCACGTAGCTGCCCTTGGCAACTCCGAACGCGGCAGTGTACGACCAGATCGACATGGGGAGAGAGTCATAAATTTGTACCCCAATCCACTTACGGACCAGCTACGTTATCAGAGCCCTATCTACGCACTCTCCGTAGACAACTTTCCGTAAGTGGAGTGCAAACTCGCGAATTCACGGGTTTTTCCCGCCCACTAACGTAAAGTTGCTCAACTTTACGTAGTGCGGAACCTCTCTATTATTATGGTGAATCTGAGTTAGGTAAAACGTTATATGCTAGCCTTTTCAAACCTGAGATCGCTAGAGTGAGTTACCATCGTATGAAACTTATAAAGCACTGCTGCAGAAGCATACAGCTTTTTGACGCCTCTTCCCGCGTGCCAAACACCGTCTATCACGCACTGCCCATGTATGTACTTGTACACACACGTTGCAAAATTTAGTCCAAGTCGGCGGACACCTTTGAAGCAAAGAGACTATTCCACTTGCTTGTAGGCTTGTAGCGGTTCTCGATTTTCAGCAAGAATGGGGCGAAATAGGATATTGTGTTGGTCATCGGACGGAACATCGGGCTACCACTTCGACAGCAGGACGGTCCCGACCAAATGGGAATAGTAGGCAGGTGTGACAAATGTACATGCAAAGAAGTCAAAAAGTCCGATACAGTAGAACGGGTAATTTTAGCGACGTAAAAACCCTAGCGAATTTAGCGATCGACTCATTTTCGCTAACACTAATCCGTTGAGACATAGTACGTAGTGCACAGGTGATCCGTGAGTAAAATCGCTGCAAATCGCTAAAATAAAACGTCGCTAACCGGTTGACAATGGGAAAACGCTAAAATTAATAGTCGCTAAAATTACCCGTTCTACAGTAATACAGCATGTGTACGAAACGCACTGCATCATAAAAATGAAGTCAGCTTGAAATTCTGCCGCAGCACCCATAGCGGAGTTGCACACTCGTGCCGTGGGGATTATGTTCCCTTGCGGGGCACCTATCCAGACCTTTGGGCAGAGAAGAAGCAAACGACTGCGATCGGAGTTCAGATTATGAGTCATGTGCGTGCACACATTTCACATACACCTCTTCCCCCCTCTTGTACCTTATCTCTCCGCTACCTTGTTATTGGGAAGAAACTCCCGCTTGGATTTGCAAAATAATCATCACCATCAATAACATGTTTCTCTACGCTTTTCTTCCTTTGCACCTGTCACTCTTTGTGATAACATAGGAATTACTTCAAAAAACCATTAGGAGCTGACCATACTCGTACTTGAAATCGGCACTTTTGGGCCGATGGATGTGGCGTTGTTCAATACATCGTAGCTACCCGAGCTGCAGCTAGCTGTCCAGTTTGCCTTCTCGTAAAGGTTTCACCAGGAGTCTGTCAGAGTAACTGGCACAAGCTCAGGCATTCCCTTTCATATTCACATGCTGCTAAATAGCAATGCACTGTTCAACGCCCCACACAACCATAGAACAGCAATGCACGCTCAAGACCCTACACGACCATAGAACAGCAATCATGCTGATATTCGCGCTTGCGACGTACGCCACACGTTTCAAGCATTGCTGTCTGGCTATGACCTTATCTCCCTCCTCAACTAGCTCTCCGATGTTGTGCCTACTATGTCTTCTTCACAGATTCTGCCTGAACAAATGCTCATCAATTATGTTCTTGTCCTCTATCCTAGTCCAAATTCTGCCTTGCCCATGCATGACTCTCATGAAATGCCCGTACTAAATAGTCTATAGAACAAGAATATTGGATATCATACTTCTCTCATCAACTATGATAATACCCATTTCATACCCCCCCCCCCTTCATAAAATTAATACCTACTGTTTTCTTTCCTTTCATTTCATCTTCATACAAATTTTAAACATTTTCATCATATTGTGAGAGCCGTGGGCCAATAGCCCCGGTGAGAAGGCAGTCTTGCCTGTTCATATGGTGAAGTAAAATAAAGAAACAACAACAACAACAATCCACTGTTTAACACCCTACACGACCATAGATCAGCAATGCACTGTTCAACACCCCAAACAGCCATAGATCAGCAATGCACTGTTCAACACCCTACACAACCATCCTCTATAAACCAGGGAGTCGTAAAATACCGGTATTTTACGACTCCCTGCTATAAACAGCAATGTACAGTCCACCACCCTACACAACCATGTGGCTTATCAGTCACAGCTTTCAACCAGCCAACTCCCATATGGTCTAGTGGTTAGGATTTCTGGTTTTCACCCAGACGGCCCGGGTTCAATTCCCGGTGTGGGAACTGCTTTTTTTTCTCCTCCGAGGAACACTTTTTGAAAAATAAATACCAGAAGCGAAGGTGGTCGTCGGATGGGCACATACACAATTTTCATTCGGTTTTTTTTATCTGATTCATACGTTCTCTGGCTACAAGAATCCGTTGCTAACTCAAAATGCCCAAAAAACGGATAAGGTCCCTTTTCGCTTGTGCTGGCTCACATATCCTTACACACAGGGAGGGGACACAGGG